CCAGGAACATATATATTGACATATACTGTTCCCAGTTGTCACCAACTGGGACTATTATACTATTAGTATAATAGTCCCAGACACCAAGTAGATCTAAAAATAAACTGAGAACGCCTTAGCTAAAAAAGAAAAAGACAGACAAATTGGAATTTTTAATCCGAAAGAATACATGCTTCCTTTATTTTTGTGACATTTCGACATGTTGTCATTAAAAGAAGTTTCGTTGATGTGATTGTTATCAGTTACACAATACAAACCCCTCATCACTCTGTATGTCAAGATTTAGAATCCTGTAATTCAGTGTTTGTGTTATTGTATAAATATCATATTTTGTTTTTGTTTATACGTACATCAGGCCGTTAGTTTTTCTCGTTTAAATTGTTTTACATTTGTTATTGCGCGGCCTTAAAAGCTATCTATGCAGTATGGGTTTGCACATCGAAAAGTCTATACAGTCACTTTTGATTATTATCTTCTACGTCTTTTGGTCTCCAAGTGTTGTCTCATTGGCAATCATACCGCATCTTCTTATTTTTACATTAGTACAAATTCCGTGTTATGATGTCACAGAGTTGATCAGAATCGATAACATACATGATGGAACATTTGTAAATGATTTGAACAGCCTTACCGGTAATAAATAATAAAATTTCGAGGTATATTTTTGCCATGGTTGCTGTTTTAGCCCTGCATGTCAAGCGGTTTCAGAGAATATTTTCTGAAAGTTAATTGTCTATCAGGTTTTCTGTAGGTTTCAACTTAATTCTCATCTAAATTATTTACAACAGAAAGAACAGATATTTTAGCGTGCATAGATCTGAATTCTTACAGGTTTACATGCTGGAATTCTTTCTTTAACTGACCAAACCTTTCTCTGGTATTACATGGCCTTGATAATATTTCATAGTTTTTTGTGGCTTAAGACACAAATTTGTGTCTAATGTATAAATTATGAAAGTTAGTTAAATAGAAAAAAGTTTCAGAGTCAATGGACCATAACTGATGGGGCCGGCCAAATTATCTCCATGGAAGTACATGAGATGGGAGCTGCATACCACATATCATGGACATACCATTAGTGGTTCCACTTCAACTGACATTTCCTGTTTATAGCATACCTAAGTCTCAAATTTAATCTCTTGTCGAGGAGAGATAAAAACTTGTTTTTTTCTGTAATGATGTGCAATAGAGTTATAATGAATAAACATAAATTAAACAAACAGACACAGTTTTTTGGTAGTTTATATGCATGTGTATATACAATATCTTTCTACATATAAATTACGAATTATCAAAATCACCTTTGAGCATTACTCAAATCAGGTTAGGGCTATTACAGAAAAAAAAATATGGGTGTTAGAATGCTTTAAATTATTTTTGTATGGGTTACAAAGTTCAAATTGTTTGCAAAGTTAAATGCAGTTGTGTTGGTGATGGCCATAGAAAAAAATAGGGAATGTGTTCATTGGACACAGATGATACCACTGCTTGCATATTATATAAAGGGACATAAGTATTGTGTATAAGTTTCATAAAATTTGGTTGAGATGACTTAAGTTGGAGAACAGAAACAAAAACATTTGTATAGAGGCATAACTCTACAAAAAAAATTGGTACACTCCCAAAATTCAAACTTGATCAGTACTTTGTTGAATAAGCATTGTCTATAAGTTTTATAACATTTGGTTGTAGTAAACTTATGTTGGATTACAGAAACGAAAACAAAATCAGCATTTTTTCCAGTTGTAAAGGGACATAACTCTAGAACGATTAAAGTGACACCACCAAAATTCAAACTTGATCTGTGTGTTGTGTTAACTAGCATTGTGTATAAGTTTCATAACATTTGGTTGAGGCAAACTAAAGTAAGATAACGGACAGTTTTGAACCAACTTTGGGACGTACAGACTTATATACAGACATACTGTCGTACAGACAGACAAAGGTAAAATGTAATGCCCCCTCTGCTACAGCAGGGGCATATCGATGCCTTCTGACATCACCACTCTTCTCAACATCATAGAGTTAATATCTATAATTTCTCAATAAATCAAACAACTTTTTTTATCCTACATATGTAATTTTACATGATTTAGCAATATGATTGGATGTACTTCAATTGCCTGTAAAATGATAAGATAAAGAGATAAAGCTTGTATCAGCAACATTATCATATCTTTTAAAAGTGCAGGATTAATCAGTCATGTCACAATGAGAGAGAACTTATCAAGTATATCTCTGGTAAGGCAATAAAGATTAGATACATGTAAAGGGCTGTGATTAATGCATCATAATTCATGCTTAACATATCACCAAGGAAAATTTAAATACTTAAATCATTTATGAATAAGCACTGGCTATTTAGGGAAAAAAATTCATAGGAATAAAGTGGAAATTTTGGCCTTTTGAATGGAGATACCCAATAAAGTCTAGCACAAATATAAATGGCCAGAATTTTCACATGGTATACAAAGAAAAAATTCCAACTTCAAATACTTAGGGTTGACCCCTGTATAGACAACTTTTGACTCATAAACCATAAATGTTATATTAAAACTGTCATATATATCACAATGGAAATTATACAAAGAATACAAAGAAAAAAGGCTTTCCATCATACTTTTTAATAAAATGTTGTATTGCAATAAAGTGATTAACCTGTTTTGAGCCCCTTTTTTGAGGGTCTAGAACAGGCTTTTTTTTATGGTCTTAAACATTGTTATAGTAAAAAAATTCTCATGTTTTGGTTCATAATAACTGAATAATATCACAGTGTCTACAGATATCCAACAACACCATCACACCATTATACCATTATACAAATCAATACAAAATAAGTTTTTGTTTTGCCTTTCAGATCATTGACTGCACTCACTGCTGATATTTTACAATATGGTTGTGTTCAAAACCAGATATCTTTACATATATTGATTTATTGTACATTAAAATTTTCACGAAATTTCTTATGCAAATCTTGTAAAATGCAAAAATGCAAAAGGTTTGATATTGTTATTTTTAGTTTTAGAAATTAAATTTACCAGATACTCATGTACACTGATAAATAAACTTTACTAAGAAATATACTAAACAAGGAAGCAAATGACTCAATCTATGAGATAGCAATGCTCAGTTAGTGGTACACTTTGGTATTTTTACCAAATTCTAATACAGTTATAGCTTTCATTTAGATTGTAATCAGTATAAATACAGATTTAAAAAAAATCTCTGTATGCTTCTTAATTACATTTTAGACCTTGGATCCTTTAGCTTAATTCAAAATTTGAAAATTCTGACTAAAATAATTTTTAAATTCAGGTGAGATAAGAGATCCAAAAATTGTCCTTTTCAGAAATTTTGAAATTGCCCTTCAAAAATGACCATATTTTTTCCATTAAATTTATTCAAATTGTAAATGTATTCATTTTCAGATTACCTTAATGCCCATAAAAAATTGAAATAAAACTTAATTTTCTTATCTATACATTTTTAAATCTATTAAGTGTTGATCATTTATAGCCTTGAAAATATTTTCAGTCCACTACAACAATAAATATTTTTTGTTTAACTACTATGGCTGAATGTATAGATTCTTTGAAGTCTGCCTTAATGTAGCATCATTTATTGCTTGATACAAAATTTAAAAAAATAGAATAAGAGTGTGTCTTAGAATATGAAGGTATCCACCCAAACTTTCCAATTTTCAAAAGTTAAAAAGGGGCATAACTCAAGAATGGTAAATGACTCACAACCTATATTTGAATTTTGTCTACCTGTCGTGGTTCTTAGCATTTTGTTTGAGTTTCATAAAACTTGGATCAGGAAAACTTTAGATTGCAAGAAAAAAAATATTGCAATTTTCCATGTTATAAAGGGGCATAATTCTAGAAAGGTTATTGACATACTGCTCAATTTGATCTTGTCTGCAAGTGAGTTTTTATTTAGAGTTGTGTAGGAGTTTAATTAAATTTCTATAAGTCATACTTAATTTAAAGTGCAGAGACGAAAATGGGATGGTCAGACAGTAAAGGGTAACTCTTAATGCCCCTATTGCCTATGTCTACAGGAAAAGGGGGGAAGGGCATAAAAATGATGAAAACAATAATTTGCTTAAAATTCTTGATGTACTAATTTAAAACCAGAAAATATTATTAAAAAAACAATTTTGTATCAGTTGGTTATAAACTGAAAAGATGAGTTTTTTTGGTATTATTTCAAATTCATATTATGAACACAATCATGTAGAATTGTTATAGATCTGTATTTGACATTAGAGTTTTTTGTTTGTTTGAAGAATGCATTTAAAAGTTATTTTGATGACCCCAAGTATATTCTATGGTAAATTTTCCTTTATTTTTGACTTATTTACAATTCCAGTAGTATGACTGACGGAAAAATATATTTGACTAAATTTTATTCACCTAAAGTATTGATGTTTTCAGAAAATTTATGGAAAAAGGTAGCCAATAATCCGGTTTTTCATTTATTAAGAATGGTGGTATTATTTTTTTCTAAATATAAAAGATATAACATTTTTCCTGTGATTTCTTTGTTTGGTATAATAATTAGTTGATTTTGGAATTATAATAGTGCTTTAAAGACTTGTTATATTTTATTAAAGACATACATTTCCAGAGGTGACTATTACCAGTAGTGTCTGTGACCTGAGCACTTGCCTAACCAAATACAAATTAGAATGTAAAATTAAAATGTAAAACATTTCCAGTAGTTTTTTCACTTACCAAATAAGTTTTGTAAAAATCGAATATTATTAATTGAGGATAACAATTCTTTTTCAATTGTGCTGATCTCTATTTCTTACCCCAGGTGCAAACTTGGACTGTTCCCTTTATTGTGTTTAACCTGAACATATAGCTTAACTATATAGTATGCCCTTAAATCAGGAATTAAATTGTTTATAATTAAAATGAATTTTAAATCTGTTAATAAGATAGACACCATGTTTATAATTATGACGAAATTGTCTAATAGATTGATTTGTAACCATGGAACAGCATCCACCATTTCTACAATCATGAGATACAAACAAAGAGCCCTCAATGATATTGTAAGGCAAGCTTTTTCTTCTTGTGGTGAGTGTAAGGCTCTTGCAATGGAATAAGGGATCTTCCTGGTGAGGTATCATCAACAAAACAGTAACATCTGAACTGGTTTTGCAGTCAATTTTACCATAATTAATCTGAAAAAGAACATTTTAAAGATACTTTATCTTTCAAAAAAATAACAACTTTAAATTTGAATTGTTTGCATAATTTATGATATTTTGCATCTTTTACAACAATTGATTAAGGTAGGTGTAAAAACTTTAAATTTGGATCTTAAAATTTAAAACTTTTAGATTCCAACCAATAAAAATCCATAAAAAAAAATCATTTATAAGCATTTATTAATGTATCTCTACCCCTTGGTATCAGTTTATTGTTTTAATTCTAAAAATGAACAATGAACTTATCAAAAGGAAAAATTTTCATTATTGAGTGATTTATCTGGGGAAATACATAATAGGTGTGTAACATCTGATTTTTGTTTTTGTTTTAAATCACCCGGAGATGCACAGATTAGTTTTTAAACAGACATGTTTATGTAATAATTTTTGATATTAACTTAGTGTTTTCATCTTAAATTGAACATGTTCATATCTCTAATATGGCAATCATTAGCTTGGAACTATTGGACAATGAACAAGCTCCGGGGTTTAATGGTATTCATCCTCATATTGTATTATTTCATACTGCACTCATTCTATTTGAGCAGTCAAAATGCGTTGACTGTATATTTCTTTGTCACATACCGTCACTGACCTGATATCACTTTTCCTCATAAATATTTACCTCTTCAACCTGTTCTTGTTTCCAATGTTACAATGATGCGTGGAACGACTCAAACTTAATTATTTCATATTTTGGAAAAACATATTTCATTTGTTAATAATATTTGTTTGAAATCTATAAATGATTTATGTATAGTTGATAATTTAGTCCATACTCAAACAAATTTGTTCACCATCGATTGAGGGTTTCAACAGGTAATGTACAGTTCACTGTGTTGCATATTTCTCCGCCTGATATGAGGCCTTTTAAAGGGCGATTTTTCACAATATTTGAATCAAATAAATAATATTAACACATTAAACAACAATTGAAAATGTTTTTTTCTAGATTGCAGAGCCTCGCATTTCCCTGTTTCTAAGCCTCATCCTTATATCGTTGAAATGTCAAGTCAATGCACTATTATTGTCTATCTATCATGATAAAAGCATGTGAGAAAATCACAGTGAACAAACTTGTCTGGAATAAAAAAAATGGCATACTTACATGGTCATCTAATTTAAAATAAACAATTTCTCCAATGTTTAATTTACTTCCATCCTTCCTTTTCATGTTTCTGATTTCGTCTCCTACATTTCTTTTCACTCCTATAATTTGTTCTAATAAAAATTGTAAAATGTCAATTTATTTAAGAAGACTATAATACATTTAAGTGATATCTGCTAAATTATTTAAGAATTCAGTTTTATTGTATAGAAAATGGTGTTAAGTGTTTCAAGAACAGCTGAACATATATTTCCTTTCATTCTTCCTTTTTAACTTATTTATTGACTCATTAAAATACTATACTTTGACTTCTAATGATTTGACTTTTAATTGTTTAACATTACAGGTGCCATTAGTTAAGGAGAATAGGCTTACAATTCTATAGCATCTGATTTCAACTCCCAGTTTCTTGTGGGAAGTCATAATGCCTAAAACTTTAGCTTTCAGTGTTTTGGTTTATAAATTTATCCTGCAATTAGGTGTCTTATCATACATTAACAGCCCAACAGATATCAACAGGGTGTTCTGTTGTGCAGTTTCAGAGGAGCTGCGATGACAAACTGTTGCAGTAGTATATTGAGGCAAATAAGTTCAAAGGGGCATTACTCCTAGAAAAAAAAAATTGAATCAATTTCTTGTCAATATGCACACCTTCAAAGTATGTCTTTATTATCTACCAGTTTCATGAAATTCTGGTGTGTGGTTTAGAGGAGTTGCGATGACAAGAACAGGACTGATAGACTGACATAAGGACAGACAACGGGTCAAAAACATGATACCCTCTGCAACTTCATTCAAAGCTTGTAGCAACTTTAAAAAAAAATTATTGTATCCAAAACTAAAATCCTACCATCTTCTTTCTGTGTCCTATTTCCCATTACAAAAGTTTGAATCCGTGGATGATTTATCTCTTCAATTGTCTGTTGTGCAGGTTGAACTCTGTAAAAAAATATATTACTTTTAGTTCCCCTGTATAAACTCGATCAATTCACTCACAAACAAATAAAAGTCTGAAGTTTGTGAGTGACTTGGTCCAGTTTCTACACCAATAAATTCCTTTAAAAGGTGTTTACTCCTTATTATAAGTTATATGGTTCGCTACTGACCCCTACCGATCCATAGAGGGTTAGTAAAATCCATAGGGGGTGAGGCCGGAGGCCGAATCACCTATGGATTTTATTCACCCTCTATGGTCCGTAGGGGGTCAATAGTTAACCGTATAACGAATTTATCGTTCGCTGGACTTTTTCTGCGGCATTTTACTGAAAAATAAACAATGAAACACAACAACAGTAATAGATGACGTCACCATAAACAGTAGATGTGACGTCATGAACCCCCTATGAAATTTACTAACCCCCTACGGATCCATAGGGGGTCACCACGTGACGGCTTTAAACCAATCAAAACGTGATAATTTACCCGCCGTGCGATAAAATTCTTTAGAATTGGAGATAAGGAATACATTTAACCATACTCATAACCCATATCACACGTAAATTCTATATTTGTGAAATTGAATAAGCCTAGCGCAAGAATATATATGTTGGTTAACTAAAATATATGTACTTCGTGACTTTGCTATCTGATAAAGAATAAACTACAAAAACTCTTATTATCATTCAAAAAAATGTTTTGTGTTTATTTTTTTATTTAACGATTAACGCTAAGTGAAAATAGATTTTGTTAACCTCGGTCCAGATTGTGTTATCATTGCCACCATCTTGTTTACATTGGTTATGAAAAGAAGTTAGGTCAATGTCGTCTATCGAAAAAAAAAAACAACATTAAGAACAGCTACTCGAAGTTTTCTCGACTAATATCAATGTATTCCCAAATATGCAAATCATATAAGAATTATCACATGATAAATGCTGTCCTATACCTTTTCCCATTTGAAAACCATGTCCCACTGTCAATGATATGGCAAACTTCCTCAACATGAGCTAACTTCAAAGCTGTGTCTTTGTTGGCATTGTGGTGGTTTGTAATGCTCTGAAAATGTTTGACTATACCACACCAGCTTTCCCCTGTCTCTAAAATAAAAAAAATAATTATACAATTGTAGGTAAATTGAAAAATATGTCAAATTAATAAGTTGCATTATATAACATTCAGTTCTTAATTTTTACAATTCTGTGTGGTCTGAGTTGTCTTTTTGTCTCTTCATCTTATACATGTCTTTCAACAATTCCGGATATTTTTTTTTTACTTTTCTCAATTTTGAATTTTTTCAATTTGAAAATCGTTTTAACAATTACTTGACTACATGCTTTTATATGCTGGAATATCAATCCTGTTAAAATTCAACCAAATTGTAGTTTGTTTTAAAAAAAAATCAACTGATAAATTAGTACTAAAAAATCCAAACATCTTGAATAGCAAATTAACAAATAATCAACAGCTAGGTGTATAAAAATAACATTTATTAACTTTTACCAGCAGTATAACCTATAGGGACCCCATGAAGTCTGATTTGTTGCTCAGTATGGAGATTATGGTGTATTTTCTGTTTTTTCAATGTTTCTGGAAACTGCTTGTAAATGTTTTCATTAAATTGGTACTGCAGATCACCCAGCCTAGTGAGTTCCGATTCCAGCAATTTCATTTTGTTACTCAACTGAACAATCTGAAAATATAAATATAATAATAATTACTAATGAACCACAAACCCAGTGCTGACATGAATATTAATTATATGGTCATATGTATAAATTAATTGTATGAAAAAGTATGAATTATTTGAAATACGAAGTATTTTCTTATCCCAGGCATAGATTACCTTAGCCGTATTTGCCACAACTTTTAAGAATTTTGGGTCCTCAATGCTCTTCAGCTTTGTACTTGTTTGGCTTTTTACTTATTTTGGTCTGAGCATTACTGATGAGTCTAATTTGCTCTAAATGCTTTGGTTTCAGAGATATAAGCCAAAATCTATATTTTACCCCTATGTTCTATTTTTAGCCATGGCGACCATCTCGGTTGGTTGGCCGGGTCATCGGACACATTTTTTTAAATTAGATACCCCAAGGATGATTGTGGACAAGTTTGGTTCAATTTGGCCCAATAGTTTCCGAGGAAAAGACTTTTGTAAAAGTTAAGACAACGGACGACAGATGCCAAGTGATGAGAAGAAAGGTCACTTGGCCCATTGGGCCAGGTGAGATTAAAACACATTACTATAACACCAGAGACCATAAATCTGTAACTTTTAGAACCAGAACTAAATGCAAAACTTTAAATCAAACATAAAATCAGTATCTTTAAGCACGAAAAAAAAATTATGGAAAGCTCATACATAGGTTATTTAAATAATAATTTGTGTCACAGTAAGTACTCATTGAAATAGTAAAATATGTGTTAAGCAAACATCAAACTTTACTGTATACTGCATAACTAAATATACAATATATGTACATTGTCGGAAAATATAAAATTTATTTGTATGAGCTTTAGAAACAGGACGAAAAGCGAGGCTCGCCGAGCTTTTCTCCTGTTTCGCAGCGAGTACAAATAAATTTTATATTTTCCGACAATGCACATATATTGTTTTTATCCTGAAATTTACACCCAACACTTGAAACTTTAGTTGTTAAAATCTAAATCATTGTCTCTAATTTTTCAAAGAAATCGACATAGTTTAAACGCGGACCGCGAAGAGGACCCCAAAATGAACTGGTACGCAAAAAGAAATATCCACATTACCGCTTGCTCAACATGGACGAGGGGTAACAGGAGACTTTATTTGTACAAGTACAAATAAAGCAAAAATTTATTTGTGTACCTGTTATTTGTACAATAGCTGGCTGATTGCAGGATAAACTATTGTTTAGCAACAAACACCAAGAGATGATATGCTAGTTTTCATATGTAATGTATACCTATAAGGGTTTACTTTTATAAATTATTACTTGGATGGAGAGTTAAATTATTGTCTCATTGGCACTCATACCACATCTTCCTATATCTATCTACAAAGAAAACTAGGCCAATAAGTGCCTAATTTTCTGGAAAGAAGTAAATAAACAATATAAGGTCAATGTCAGAAAAATATAAACTTTTTTGTATGAGGCTGAGAAACTGGGGAAGGGTGCAACTTAAACTAATACAATGATAGCTTTTTAAATTGTAACACAAATGTCCAACTTATTTTCATCTCTTAATGAACCACTGATTGTGGAGAAAGTGTTCCATGATGAAATTGACATTGCACAAGGTCCAAGGACACAGTTATCGTCCTTTGGTTTTCGTTGTCTACAAATATAGTCCCTAGTGTGAACAGTGTATAACTTGCATTTTTTTTTGATACACTTTCCCAATTTATTTCTTGATATTTTATGCATGAAATATTAAGTAAGGGGATGAAATTACATGTTAATCAAAGAGCTGAAAGCTCTGAGGAAAAATGACGCCACTGTCTCTAATATTGTGATATTTTTTATGCAAGTCTTGATTTTCACATACCGTAATAAGTTTAACATTGCAACATGTCTCGTAAGTATTTAATTGATATTCGTATATGTGTCTGTTTTTTTCAGTACAAATGAATAGGTCAAGACTACCTGAATGATCTACAATATCCAATGACTACTGGCTGTTCTTTTGTACTAATTAAAATTGGTCAAGTCTTTCTATCCTATTAGGTCCAAGGACACAGTTATCATCCTTTGGTTTTCGTTGTCTACAAATATAGTCCCTAGTGTGAACAGTGTATAACTTGCATTTTTTTTTGATACACTTTCCCAATTTATTTCTTGATATTTTATGCATGAAATATTAAGTAAGGGGATGAAATTACATGTTAAAAAAATTTGGGTGCTGAATCTTTATGTTAAGTAGTGATTTGATCCAGTTAAAAAAGGTCAAAAATTAGAATGTCTGAAGCTGTCAAACTGAATTTTAGCCCCCCTTAACACAAAATTGTCAATATTTTGAGTTAGAGCTGGTAGAAGTTCCTATAATTTTGATATTATTTGTATCAATAGTAGTACACTACACTGTAAAAATCTTTTTAAGATAGAGCAGGTGCGATTTTTTTAATTTGAATTTATTGTCTAAAAGAAATGCACTACGAAATAACTGTGTTCTCGGGCCACAAACTATAGCTGTGTTACTTTATTTAAGAAATAAACACAACTAGTTGCAGTATAAATGAGAATATTTTCCTAAGAATGCTTCCTTTTGCTTATGTAATATAAAACAATTTATCAAAATAGTTATGATACTTGTAAGATAGTTGAACCTGTTAGTTTTACCTACCTCAGACAATAGACACCAAAGTTTTACTATTTCTTTACTAAATCCTGCGTGATGAACTGTAAAGGGTGCAAGTTGTACCTAGATTTAGAAATAAAAATGCTCTATGCTCTATATTAAATATACATTTATGCAGTATTTTTATTATTTCAAACAAATACTGCATATGGTAACACTATTTTACTTGTTGATCGATTAGTTAAAATAGTTACAGATTACAATATGTCTATATAGTTTAATCATTGGATTAAAAACAAAAGATATTTATAGATTATCGTTGATCATCTCAAGAGATTGATTTTCTTGCTTCAGCTGGACGGGGAAAGTAAGATAAGCAATTGAGTTGAGATGACCAATGATAATCTCTTTATCGCTATTTAGCCTATGAAGATGTTGTTAATTTCCTGGACAACAGCACATGTTCCCTTAATTTCTAGCGATAATTTTCATCACTCAACTCTATTTTCATATCACTGACGACTCCGCTGAGAAAGGAAATTATCAGTCAACAAGATCAAAGGAAAATTCGTAAAATAGCAATAACAGTATATATTCTGGAAAACTGGAAAAAGCAAGGGTATATCAGATGGTTTTTTTTAACCCTAATTGGAACCTCAACGTACATTAATTGTTACTATGACACAGTTCCAAATGTGTAAGATGTTATTTGCCATAGGTTTCATGGATAGATGCAAAGTGATGATTATGACAGTCACAATAGTTTACATGGTCTGTTTCTGGATTCAACTGCAATTTCCCATGCATTGCTAAGTAATAAGTAACACTCAATTGAAATCACCAATCCACAACTGATTCCAGATTTCTATATAAAACATATAATTCTTTAATGGATTCAGCAATTTAATGAGTTGGCACTTACAAATGACCTGAAGTCTTTCCCTTGGCTTGATTTGTGATATTTCACAAAGTTTTCTCCACATTTGTGATGAAAGCCCTTCCAGTCAGCTGCATTTAACGTTAGCTGTAAATTTTCCTGTAAGAAAGAACCAGAAGTATTAAAAGAACCAGAATTATCTTCAACTATCCTTAGCCAGCAACAAAACGGTTTTGATTATGCAATCTTTACCAAAAATGTTTTACCAAAGATTGATCTTAAAGTGTGCTGTGATACAAAACACTTCATAAATTTAAATACAATGTATAAACATTTCATAAAGATAAGCTGGCTTTTTATCAGCTGGAATTCACAACTGTATTCTACAATTTTCCAATAATAGAGACAATTACTCAGGATCCATTAAAAGTAAAGGGAATACATATTGTAAATTCGCCTAATCAGAATCTAAAGGACTATGGGTAATCTCATGGTTCGTACACCAAAATGAAAATAAAGTCACGTCATTGGTTGCATTTCTATTGTTTATCACGTTTTAAACCAATCACAACGTTTTGGTGTACGCTATTGTAAATATTACCCAGAATGCATTAGATTCTAAAACGGTATTGAACTTATTCTAACATTTGCATAGCTCAGTCCAAAAGTCTCAATGGTTAAGTTCAAATATGTATTTCATATTTCATAATTTGTTTCTTTAATGGACAATAGTATATGTCAATTTGATTTCAATGTATGTTCAGTAAATAATAATTAATAAATATAAAAAAGAAGATGTGGTATGATTGCCAATGAGACAACTCTACGCAAGAGTCCAAATGACACAAAAATAAACAACTATTAGGTCACTGTACGGCCTTCAATAATGAGTAAAGCCTATATATACACATTAACTTATGATCAATAATCATTAAAATTGAGTTAATTTTTACATTTATAATTTATAACTTGCTTTCATAAATGTAAGTTGCAGATGTGTCAGTATAATAACATGTTTTCCATATGAAAGAATTTAACAACATTATGTGCCATTATGTGTTTGACCCAATAGAAATAATAAACATTTGATGCTTCAAAAAATTGTGGTTATAATGCACCAATAGATACCATAGCTTGGTGTTGAGATTAGGATTAAGAATTTGAATCACACTAATTAATTTTACTTAGAACATAGACCTGTGAAAAAAAAATTATATTGTAGGCATCCAAAAGAAATAAATCAGCTAGACTATTACATAAATAAATTTTATAGTATTTAAAAGAATGATTAGCATTAAAACAAAAGATATCAAGTCACAATTACCTTCTGCTGGTCAGTACAGTTGCCTAGCATACATTTTAATAGGATTGCAACTTCTCCTAAGTATATGCAATGAAGCATATCTGGAGGAATGTCCCTGAAATTATAATTAAAAAGAAAACAATAATTAAACAGTGCAGCTGGTAGTTTAGCTTTAGTAAAACTGTGGATTTCTTGATATCATATGTGATACCTATTGTAAGAATATTTTTATTGCAGTTTTATTATAAATTATTGATTAAATCAATAATGAATCTTGATTTAGGTGTAACAAATTTACAGAATACAAATATATATGGTTCTTAAATTAACTACCCTGCACCTGTACCTTATGATTTATTGTAAACATTACCGTAATCCACAACTTCTGTCTCAGAAAGTTAGACATAGGGATAGTGATCCAGCGGCGGCAATGCCAACTAACTTTTTAAAAGCTTTATGATCTAAGAAGTTGGAAGACATGCATGTTTCATACTTTGTTTATGCCTCATGTTCATAAGCTTTTGCCTGTCATACGTCCATTGTCCTTAACCTCACTTTCATGGTTCAGTGATTATTTGAAAAAAAAAGTTCAGATTTTTTGTAATGTAAACAATTGGCAGAGCTCAGCATTCTCAACATTCCTGTGTATGTGTGGGCCTCACAATATATATGAAGTGTGCATGTCCAAAGCTAAGTTTCAATTTTCAGTGCATGTAATTGTTTTTGCTTCTTGTATATATAACTACAAAATGATTATATATTGTAATTCTAATAATGCTTTCACACCATATATAACAATATATAATAAAGTCATGCATACCTGTGTGGATCCCAATGAGCAGCTTTGTTCATTTCTTCAGCCAATATTTTCTTTTTTATCCCAGTCATTGTTGATGTTTCTGTACTATTTTCAATCTCTTTTAGAATTTCCTCAGTTTTATTTTTTGTTCTTAATTCTCCAATAAGTAAGTGGTTATTTCGATACTGACAAAAAAAGGAACAAGATAAAATATATATGATTAATTTTTAGTCATTGGGTTTTTGTAAAAAAAAAATGTGATCCAATTCAAGACCATAAAATATAGGACCTGAATAAATTAGCAGACTGGGAACATTGATGGCTCATAAAGTTTAATGCAGACAATTCTAATGCAATTTTTATGTAACAATTTTTTTCATTGGCTAAAAGTTACCATCAAATCCACAGTTGACCAGGCGTAACTAAGGAGGGACCCGCCATTTTGAATTGATTGAATCAATAAATGTTCAATTACTAATATCATCGAAAATAAAACAACACCTACCTCGAATTCACCGTTTTAATGTAATTTTATCCGAATTTGAATCGCAGAGGTAACGTAATAACGTCCAGTTTGTAAGTTTTCATTTGTATGACGTCACGTTAAGCCATGACGTCTTCGAGCCAAAATCATTCACTAAGTTTCGCAGAATTTATTTTGTATGTCAAATTTATACATTTTTTCAAGCTTTATCGTATTATTTCTTTTTGTAATGTATTAGAATCTGAATAACAGTACTGTAGTTAAAGAGTTGCCACCGTTAATTTTGATTTGAAGGCCGCAAATCTCCGTTTTACTGTCTCCGCTAAGCGTCACCAGTAAAACTACATTTGCGACCGTCAAATGGACAATTGACGGTGGCAACTTTTCAACTACAGTACTTTTATTCCTTAAATGCAATGTCATTTCTATCAGCAAGAAATGATAATGATCAAATTCAAGGGGAGATAATAAATATTTAAACAGGTTGTTAATGCAAATCAGTCAGTTTCAGTGCTATTTTGTGAAATATCAAGAAAAGTTTTGACGTATATTTACAATTGGTAGAGCTAAACATTCTGAACATTTTTGCCCCTTTCAGATTTTCAATATTTATAACAGCTTCAAAATAATAAACAAAACTTGCTTTTTACCCTTATGTTCTATTTTCAGCCATGTAGGACATGTTGGTTGGCAGGTGGGGGTCATCAGACACATATCTTAAAACAAGACACCCTAATAATGATTATTGCCAAGATAAGTTCAATTTGGCTAAATAGTTTCATAGAAGAATTTTGTGAAAGTTTAAGAACGATGGCAGAAATTACCAAGTGATGGCCATGAGAGCTAAAAGAGGATTTTAGTTTTTGGACAAGTAACCCAAAAGAGCTTTAAGCAGTGTTCATGAACTTTTGGGAACTGTTTATAGCTATTGACATGAATTTCATATTGTATAAGTCATAGATTTAAAACTGTGTCCTGTAGACCTAGCTTATTTCAACAGAAGAAAAAAAGAAAACAATTTATCATATGTCAATAAACCTTTATAATATTACACAGCAATGGAAAAAAGGAAACCTGAGACTATTGTTGACTCAGATACTATTTATCAGTGATAATATTTATCATTAATTGTCTTACCCTGCAAAATCTACAGTTTTCTTTAGCTGCAGCACCCATGTGGTGACAAAATTCTGAGGCCATACTGTTGTCCATTAACCCAACTGCTATTTGGGATGTTACAATAACATTTTTATTGTAAGCTGCATCATACATTACTTTTCCTTCACTAAAATTTAAATACATTGATCAAGTTTGGGATTTCATGTATTCTGATTTGACTCAAAATTCTCATATTTGATTTATAACAATGTAAAATATTTATCCAAATTATAAAAATTCTAAAATAAACAATATAATAGCTCGATAATATGTAGCTTCATTTCTTGTGTATTTTAGTCTAGGCGCCATATAAATAACTGTCAATTGGACCACTGATAATAAGCGATATAAATCATAGCGCTATAGACAGTTAACCATGTATATTTATTTAATGAATTGATTAAGGCAAATTAATTAATATTTTTCAATTGATTTGTTTTATTGTCCTATACAAGTATATATATGGTTTAGGTGGGGATCGGGCCCATAGTGTTCTAGTTAACCCTTCCCTTATTCAGGCCCCTTAAAATACCCCTAAATAGACCCCAATGCACAAACGAGAGATCGATGACTCCGCGAGACATGTTATTGAGTTCTTTTCAATGTTTGTCTCTGTTCAACCTAAATCTGATCAGATAGAGATGAAGTACTAGCCATTAGCAACTACCACCTTACAGGTGTTGCTCTACACTGACCCTCTCTTGTAAAAATATACACATCAAAGAGTCTTTTTCTTGAAAGTATTTTTTTTTTCTATTTTGCTAATTAATGTTTACACTTACTAAAACATGTCATTCAAATCATTCACCACAGGTGTAACGAATGACCCGTCTTCTGGTTTTGTAACTCCAATGAAATGATGTGATGATTTCTTCATCTTTTCAGAAGTTGGTAATCCTGCCAACTGAAGAGTCCACACACTTAATGGGTTCCATTTTTTTGACCTGTATAATGTTTATATAAGTAATTGTCTTATACAGTCTAATGAAATTTATGTAAGCAATTGTAGGCTTGTGTACACAGCTTTGATCATGTTGATCAACAATGAAAAAAATCCATACAGTATTTCCCACATGAAAAAATGTCACTATTCAACTGAGAAAACAAAAGTTTTAATTTATAACAAAACAATTTACGAAAAACAAATATGGTTTACACTAGTTCAGTGGTTTCATCAGAGAAGTCAAATTGAGAATGGAAATGGGGAATGTGTCAAAGAGACAACAACCCGACCATAGAACAGACAACAGCAGAAGGTCACCAACAGGTCTTCAATGCAGCGAGAAATTCCCGCACCCGGAGGCGTCCTTCAGCTGGCCCCTAAACAAATATATATACTAGTTCAGTGATAATGAACGCCATACTAAACTCCAAATTGTACACAAGAAACTAAAATTAAAAATAATACAAGACTAACAAAGGCTAGAGGCTCCTGACTTGGGACAGGCGCAAAAATGCGGCGGGGTTAAACATGTTTATGAGATCTCAACCCTCCCCCTATACCTCTAGCCAATGTAGAAAAGTAAACGCATAACAATAAGCACATTAAAATTCAGTTCAAGAGAAGTCCGAGTCTGATGTCAGAAGATCTATTTTCATATTTAATGATAGATAAAGAACGATCCACAATGACAATAACTTTCACTAACCCTTTTGGGAGTATTGATACCTGTTATCAAATCACTATTTTAAAATTTAAATAATTTTACAATTTCTTGCATGTTTATACTCTATGTACCTGTTACCACTTGTGTCATCTACAAATATATTTATAGGAACTGTGTATATGTCCATGTCTAGCTGTTTTGACATCTCAATCAGATTTTGTACTCTTTCAACATCATCACCCTCATACACCTAGTGAAGAATAATAGAAAGTGAAACAAACATCATCCAAAATACACTAAAAACTTAATTGATTTTTGACCTAGTTTTCTCTCAAATTTTTTGAGAAAAAAATTAACGTTTCATGTATTTGCCTTATCTCATCTGTCATGTCATCTGTCTTGCTGAAGATAATTATGTCTTTTTGATTCCATAAAAATAACCATTCAATAACTTGACAAACAGATTAATGAGTAATGTTTTTGCTTTCCCTGCTAAAGTACTTACTTTTTTGTATAATGATTAGTGACTGAACATATGTTTTTCTTTTAAACTAGTGGCATACTTTTTTTAAAATTTATTTTATTGGTAATTTTTGTTTTAGTAATTACTTATATATAGACGTAGTGTCCCGTACGAAATAAGTAGTAGGATTCCACCTAGACACTAGTAGGAATGTAGTAGGAATCTACCTAGAATCAAAGATTCTGTATAGAAAGTAGACGGACAGGGAAAATGAACAAAATTCTGACTGGATTTTTTTATTTTCTCACTAGCAAAATCCTACCATCTAGCAGGAATTTTAAAAGTCTGTATGGATTTTTTTCTGTTTTGAAAATCTTAAGTGGGAATTTAGACAGGAAATATGATTAGATTACTCATTTTCCTACTACAAGATTCCTACCAGAATTTATTTAATCCTACTAGAAAATGTTTTTACATGGAATCTTTTTAATTATCTTAAACTGGATTCCTGTTTGCTAATGACACAAATTTTGCTGTGTTGACTGCAACCAAGTTCCAGTTCACAAATTCAAAAGTTAGAGGGTAGAAGAATGAAAAGTTGTGTTGGAACACAACGCTGCAAGGATCAAACAACTACAATATTGAAATATGAGAAAATATGGCTCATGTTGATTGAAGGTAATTTTTATACTTTTAAGGTAGATGGGGTGTCTAAATTATAATCCATAGAATTTTTTTAAATTTGCCAAAATGTAGTTAATATCATGCTTTTTAAAAAAATATAATAAAAAGAATGGGTCACAGGCCTTATTTTCACGCTACAGGTTGTGCAAAATTGACAGATTTTGTATAGATTATGCATGGAAAACCCAATTTTCTGCCATAAAATGAAAACTACACCATAGAATTTTGAGATAAAATATGAAAAGATAGCACTAATAGTATGCTTTCAGATAAGAAAAAGAAAAAATGGGGTCACCGTACCCGTTTTCTTGCTACATAATAAAATAGGTAAATTCCTAACACATTCTATTGTAAAAATAACCTTATGTGAATTATCTGCCCTTACATTTGAGTTGCCTCCCCTTATGTGGCAACGTTGGGAAATATAGAATCAAACAAAAGTATTCATTTTTTTTGTAAAATACAACAATAAATATGATAAAATATGTCATTTTCTATATTGAAATGAAAATTCTTACACATGAATTGCCTACTACTCTCAAAATTTGTACCTTTTATTATAGATCTAGACTGATTGTTTTCTGGTATTTCAAAATCCAAGATGGAGGAAGACACCCTATCTACCTTAATATGAAATTTGTTATCTGTTTGCCAATATATATTAGTTAATTCAACAACAGTGCATAACTTTCCTCATTATTTGTTCATAACTCTTTAATTTCATCTAATCAACATTTTTGTCCATCTACATATATAACACAATTTCTAACTTGAATACATCACAGTTTCCTCATACATTTCAAAAGTCATTTTTTTTTTAATAAATCTATTCCATACATTTCCTTTGTTCTTTGTTGTTGAGATTCAAACTTAAATGATTGACCCAGTTGTGTATTTGTGAATATACACTTACATTTTGTATATTTTTAGATTCCTACTAGAAAATATGTTTTTTCTATGTGGAATTTTGAAAAATTCCTACCAGGTTTTCTAGTAGGAATTTTATTTTCCCGCCAAATTATTCCTAATAATTTAAATATTCATGGTAGGAATATACAATATTCCTACTAAGAATTCCTGCTAATTTAAATTTTTCGTCTTATAATTTTCCGTGTGGATTCCTACTGGAGTCTGACTGGAATATAACTCTTTTCTGGTAGGAATTCATTACAATATTCCTACTATATTCCGTGTTCATTCTGTGTGAAATATTTCATACAGGGTTATTTAATTTGATCGCATCATCATCAAAATATAAACACACAGGTATTAATCTAGTAGCTCATAATATTATAGGATTAAACGCCTTTTTAAAGGAATTTAATGGTGTATAAACTCGACCAATTCACTCACAAACAAATAAAAGTCCGAAGGACTTTTATGATATGTTTGTGAGTGACTTGTTACAGTTTATACACCAATAAATTCCTTTAAAAAGGCGTTTAATCCTTATAATCCACACTCGTAACCTCTATCACACGTAAATTGTATATTTGTGTCATTGAATAGGCCTGGCGCATGAATATATTTGTTGGTAAACGCAAAAATATGTACTCCGTGAAATTTGCAATCTGATAAGAAATAAACTACAAAAACTCTTATTATCATTCAAACGAATGTTTTGTGTTTATTATTTAATTTACATATTAAGACCTATTAACGCGAACTGAAAATTAATTTTGTTAACGTCAATCCGGATTGTGTCATTATCGCCGCCATCTTGTTTACATTGGTTACGAAAAGAAGTTCGGTCAACGACGTCTATCGAAAAATAAACAACGTCAAGAACAACTACTGGAAGTCCTCTCAACCAATCATATCAACGTATTCTCTAATATGCAAATCATATAAGAATTATTTTTTTATAACAAACTCACATTTGTCTGGTCCAACTTCAACAGATCATTTGCTATCACAGATATATTTCTTGTACTACAAATAGAGATTACAATTATATTAAAACTCACAGTTACCAAAAAATACAAACATAATAAACATTTCCTGAAAATATCTATTACTTGTACTGCTGAAATTTTTGTATATGATTTAATTTTTACATCTAGATATGGTGAGTTTGAATTAGTAACTTAATTTCAAAAGTTTTAATGTGAACCAAATGATTACATTACATGTATGTTTCAGAAGAATCCGTTATTTTGATTGGATAACAACGCTTGTTCGTCATACTAGAATTCACCTTCATAGCCCAAAAGTTCATAATGACACGTGCTATCCCAAAAAAGTGCACAGGTTATTTAAAGAAATGACAAAAATAGATTGTCCATTGTCATAGCGAAAAAATGTAATTATAAATATTGAATGCTTCTTTTACTAATTTCATATGGTTGTAAAAGCGTTGACCATGCGCACATTTTTAGAATGAAGCGCTTCCACGCTTCGTACAAAATGTACTTCAGTCAAAGCTTTTACACCCCAATGAATTTACTTTTACACCCCAATGATTTACTTTTACACCCCAATAAATTTACAAAAAAAAGCATTCCATTCTTAAATGAAACTGTTTACAGAGATCTCCCCTATTGATAATTGGATTTAAACATTTTTAACTTCACTTGTCCTATTTTCTCAGTTATTTTTATTCACTGGGACCTTTTAATTTCTTCTATTAAAGAGAAATCCCATCACTACCTGAGTAAAAAAATATCCTTCATGTAGATGAAAGTGCATATATCAACTAAAATAAACAGTTGCGCCATGAGCGCATGATACGCCCGTCGTCTTGTGTGTGAATTTTTATGCAATAAGCATAAATAGTTTCTGACATACGGCGTGACATGCGAAAACCCCCTTCTTTTTTTTTACAAAAAACTCAATATCTCTAAAACTAAATTTTGAATCAAAACCAATAAATTACACAGATCTTTAGATTAATATAACTAAGAAGTGTGTAAAATTTTATGCAATAATCATAAATCGTTTTTGAGATACGGCGCGACATGTGAAAAACCCCTCCCCCTTTTTTTACAAAATACTCAATAACTCAAAAATAAAATTTTGAATCAAAACCAAAAAGTATACAGATCTTTAGATTAATATAACTAAGAAGTGTGTAAAATTTTAAGCAATAATCATAAATTGTTTTTGAGATACGGCGCGACATGTGAAAAATCCCTCCCCCTTTTTTTACAAAATACTCAATAACTCAAAAATAAAATTTTGAATATCACCAAAAAGTATACAGATCTTAAGATAAATATAACTAAGAAGTTTTAAGCAATAATCATAAACTGTTTTTGAGATACGGCGTGACATGTGAAAAAAAACACACACCTGTTTTAGTTACTAAGTCCTGTAACTCAAAAAGTTTTAATCTTATTTTCACCAAAAAGTATACAGATCGTTTGACCATCATAAGAAACAACTATGTTAAGTTTCATGAAATTTGGATAAGTCATTCTCAAGTTACAGTGCGACATGTTTACGCCGGACAGACAGACGGACGGACACCAGACATTTGTATACCATAATACGTCCCGTCAAAAATTGATGGGCGTATAAAAAACTGCATGAGTGCATGTTGTATTTATTCAATATTATATTTTCAATCTGTTCAATGTTAATAATTAAAAAAAAATGCAGATTCACTGGTTTGATACCAAGATAAATTCCTGCTACACATTGAAATAACCATGCACTGTTATTTTAAGAAGAAAAAACAGCATTTAATGATGTTCAATTGCTGTCCTCAACTTTTATAATGTACAAAAAATGAATGTATACCAGTTCATTATTTTATTTCTCTTTACATTTGTAGTGTTTATACCAACCTTTCACACTCTACAGATGCATATACTTGATGTGTATTTTCAAATTCCTAAAAAACATAATAATAAGTGTCAATGACAATATAGGATGTAGTTGCCATGTCTAAACAGATGACTGAATCTGAGCTAAAGAAGTCATATACAGTTATAAAAATATTAGATACATGTGTGAACAAAGGTTTTCTTACATAATGTGTTTAAATTTAAAATGTGTTACTTGTTTAAGGCAAGATCCACAACTTTCGTTCATATATATTCAGAATTGTTACACTTAACATGCAATGATAACATTTTAATTCAATTATACAACGTACAACATGTCAGAGTAGCTGTACTTTATTGACTTAAAATAACCTTATTCCTGTGTCATTTGGTCTCTCAGAAGTGGAAATAACATTTCTTCATTAAATCTACATTATTACCTGGGAATAAAACTGAACAACAGTTCCACACTCTCCATTTGTGCCATTCTGAACGTTGTCACCAATATATATTCTTTCTGAAGATGAATTTTTTGCCATCAAAGACTTTATTTCAGTCTTCCACTTGCTTCCACTACTTTGACCTTCAAAAAAGTTGCTTTGTCTGGGAAATCTATTTTTGAAAGAAAAAAAATGTTATTATAAAGGGGCCATCATCAGAGGAGGAATGGAAGATTAATGTTTGCACCCTTTTAATAAAGATACAGTAACTGTGATAACCGGTGGTTAAGAGTTAACCTGAGCTGTTCAGTAAACAGGCTGTTCCGTTAATTGGCGGTACAGTTATCAGGTAGATCAGATATATATCAGGTGGATAAATATGAATCTTGTTGATATCTAAACAGGTTCAATTATCCTGTCAGTGAAAAATCCCGATGGGATGTTCAATGGTTACACATGTTACAGTACCTAATCTTTATTAAGCTAATGTACATGTTACAGTTAACATTTTGACATGTTACGGTAAACATTTTGACATGATACGGTAAACTTTTTGACATGATACGGTAAACATGTGACCTGATGATATAACTCAAATTTGGGCTTGAGCATTGGGTATAGGATGTTTTAATTATTGATGAAGTACATGGTAGTCACTAAGTCTTGATCTTTGGCTTATGATCAGGGGTCGAATTTAAGCTTTTATGTATACTGGCCAGCCGGACCAGTGGACTGAATAATCTACTGGTCCGGGTGCAAATCTACTGGTCCTGCAAAAATGACATTAATTTGACAAACACTAATATAAATGATAGATATTTACTTTTATTTTCGTGCTTTCTTTTACATATGTTAGACAAGAAAAAGAGAGAATCTCCATCCTGATTTTGATAATGGCTTTGATAATCTCAATGATTTTCTTTATCAAAATCAGTATCAAGAACAGAAAAAATGTCAACATTGTCTTCCATATCATCACAATCCTCACGACGACCATAGGGCGCCTGACTGGGTTGTCTGGAGCGCTGCCCAGAAATGCCACATTTGAATAGCCGGGACAAATTTTTCACTTATTTAATTCACTACATTGCGATCGACTATATAATTTAACAATTCACGATCTTTTTCCAAGGATTTTTTATATTAACCTTTCCTTTTGTCAATTTCTTAAACTTTATTCCAATCTTCCTCTTGAAAGACACTTTTTTATTTTTTTGTCGAGATGTCCTTCCAAAAATTTCCACATTTAGTACCGCCAGTACAGTGTAATTGATTTTGCAGGTAAAATTGTTTGCAAACAAACCGATTTTGGGATGCAATCGGAGTTTTATCGACAAATTTCTACTGGTCCGCCGGACCACCAGCTGACAAAATCGACTGGTCCAAAGCAAATTCTACTGGTCTCGGTCCACCAGACCAGCGCCAATTTTGACCCCTGCTTATGATACATCTAAATATCAAGACTTGAAACAGTATATTACATGGTAGTTTACCAGTATTTCATTTCAAGCTTTGCCCAACTAAATCTTGATAATTGTAAAGAAAATCTGTACATATTTCAATATTTTTAAAATTCTTAACTTTCTTTTCTATAAATAAATAAAAAATTTCAAAGAACCATTTAATTGTTTGTGACTGTTGAGTATTTTTCTATTATAGCCATTATCTTTGACTCATGAGTTTGAATGTCCCTTTGGTATCTTTCACCTCTCTTTTAGACTTAAGATAACACTTAAATAACTTAAAGCTGATGAAACAATTAAGTGGTAGGCTGGTATAAAGAATAATAGAAAAATAACATTATGAACTACCTTTGTAACTGTATTGCTGTGTTTTTCTTTGAAAGCTGCATTTCAATTATACTAGATGGCTTTATGTAAAAGATGTCTTTGTCGGTATCTTTATTAGAAGACTGAAAGAAAAACATTAAAGTTTGTCTTTAATCAATATAAATTGCCTCTCCTGGTCCCTATATTAATTTCCAAACCCTTATTAGAAGACTGAAAGAAATAACATTAAAGTTTGTCTTTAAACAATATACAATTATGGCCCGTTGAAAAGGTGAATATCCAAAATTGTCAACACAAGAAGGTTATTTCAATGAGGGCGCAGCCCGAAGTGAAATAACTTTTAAGGGTTGACGATTTTGGATATTCATGGATTCTAAGGGCCACAATTGTTTTATGATATACCGAACTAACAGTGGAAGGGCATTTAGAACACTTACTATCTTCTTTACATAACAAACACAAGCTGAGGTTTGAAAATACATTTGTGTTCTGGAATTTCTCGAATGTACAACAAAGGTAGAATCTTTTTGTAAAATATTGATGGCCCTGAAAAGGACCGTTTATAAGAGATATCATTGGCTGCTGGCACTCTATTCATGTCCAAAGCCTTATTTCCTCGTCTCTCGATAGGCTGTCAGTGTAACGTGAACGATGCCATTTTGTTTATTTACGTCTGTGACGTCATTTTCATGGGAGATAACTCAAGTGCAAATCTAGACACTCAAAAGGTTATTCGCCGGTGAATGATAGGGTCATTCATTGCTGGTGTAAATTTTAATGGTTATTCGTCCCCCTTGCAATTAAATGAAAATTAACTGAATTATTCCATGTCACGTGATAAGGTGTTACCCAATAGAATTGTTTGTAATATATGTAAGGTATAATAATATAAATTGCCTCTCCTGGTCCCTATATTAATTTCCAAACCCTATCATTTTATAATCTATCCATTATTATAATTCAAACAAGGAAACTAACTGCACAATTCATGCACAAAGCAATAAACCAAAAAAAATGACAAATATGGCATAATTATATTCATCTTACAGCTTTGTAAGATATTGAAAAGTTCTCTGAAATTCTTAGTATCATAATTTTCTGGTTTTTTGTTGAAAATTTTGCATGGTCATATTAGCAATTTGTGATTGTGCTATGGAATTTTCTCTTTCTGACTTTTCGATGTTCATCTAAAATTTGTAGTGGTAAAATCATGGCAATTTTTTTTTAAATAAGTAATACATTGTACATTATAACATACATACATTTGTAGGGAAAATTTCATTACTATCCATTTTCAATTAAAAGTATTCTAAAAATAGCAAATTTGTCAAAACAGCTAGATTACATGTATCTTACCACTGATGGTTTAAGTTCTAATCCTTCAATGTCAAGATTCCATATCTTATGGAATGGAGGAATACTCTTTATATTGTCTTCAACTACTACTCTGATTATGTGTAAAATAAACTTTAAAAGTTCTTGATCCTAAAAATAGAAAGTTTTGCAATGTACACCATTGTTCCAGGTTTGGCGAAGGGTTTGGTTAACCAGCAACTTCCTGTATGTGGAAGTCTGCATGCATGTAGTTCACAATTTTAGTGGTCATCTTTTTTGGCTGTTAAATTATACATCATATTTGTTTTTCATTTTTAATATTTTGTACAGTATAAATTAAATCAGGCCATTAATTTTCTTTTTTCTATTGTTTATTATTTGTCATTTCTGGGCCTTCTATCATGATATAGCTTACTTTGATGCATTAGTTTTACTCATAGTTGAAGGTTGTGCTTAGACAAGTAGTTGTTGTCATTTAATTATCACTATCAGGATGAGTTCATAGTCTCATTGGCAATCATACCACATCTTCTTAAAGTCATATGAAACGAATTACTGGTGAAAAATAATATTTATCCAATTCTTGAAATGCATTTATATATCATAAAGAAACTTCAGTGCAAGATTTTTTCATATTTTTATGCATCCATATAAAGTGTATTTTTGGAAATTGATACCCCGGGGGGGTTAAATCCTATATTTTTAGTGGTACGAGTGTGCCGCAAAACAGGGTCGCTTTTTAATGCCCTGCTGGTTAGAACAGGGTCCCTTTTCATGTCCTGCTGGTTAGAACAGAGTCATTTTCTTGGGCGTGTCTAGAACAGGGTATGTTTTTCAATATATCTGTTTAGAACAGGGTATATTTTTCAATGTTTTCTAGTTAGAACAGGGTATGATTTGGCAAGTGCTGTCGGCACAGTTATAGCCGAAAGGATAGTCAGTAACCCCCCCGGGATTGATACTAATTTGCTTGACCGGACACCATGATTGCAAGATTGAAGATTGCAATATATATGATAATAAAAGCGCTTACTATACAGTGATATTTTGATCCACGTAACACGTAGAGCAGTAGCTCTAGCCTGTTGGCGAAAGGGAAGTAGTCGTCTGTAAAAATCTCTGAGTCATCGAGTTCCTGTTTAGTTGCACTGTCACTGTCAATGTTGAAGTTCTCTTGCCACACATCATTTGTCTCTGTACTTTGTTCTTCTTCACAAAACTGCAATAAACCTATTACATCTTTATGCTTTTTTGTTTCTAGATGTTTGCAGTAATTGCTCTGTTTTTCTGTTGAAAATTCGCAAGGATTACACTGAAACATTTCAAATGCAGAATCAGAAGCAGAATGCTCGTGCAGTGATCAGGTGATTGAAGCGCTTGTAAAAGCTCTTTAGAACACGTCGATTCAAACGTTTTTAAAACCTTGGAGTATAATTTTCGTCTGCAACTATTTCACGAGACATATTATAAAGATTAAAAGAAGACATATCTTTAAAACAAAAAAAAGAAGAATTTTTGATAGTCTTAGAGAGACAATAACAGGTGATTTGCAAAACACTAAAGTAACGTATATTTTGATATAAAAGTAAGATGAAGTCCAACAAGTCACTTACACGTGGCTAATTTACATACGATCTATCCATTGGTGTCTTCACTGAAGCAGATAATAGAAAAACATTGAAACCATTGAGGGTCTTCAGGGTATGTTTAAAAAAAAAATGCAATAGAAATTGTCGCACGGAACACGAGTAGATCTATTCCGATTTAATGGAGACGTGAACGTTGAAAGATCAAAGATCGCCGAGCTCAGTCGCCGAGGGTCATCGTCACAAAGGAGAAGGTTCACGAAGGGTTAAAATTGGCCCTATTTTGTTATGTTTTTTAAATGGGGCAAAAAAATTACAAACCGGGTAAAAATCATTTATAGTATACGATGGATTTACTTTCCATTTTGACAGAATATAATAAAACGGACTTATTCTGCTTGAAATCCCATTTGGGTTCCACTTCCTCGTTGGTGTGTAGGGAACTCAGAGTCAGATTAACGGAAATGGTATTTGTACTAGTAAATAATTGAATAAATTAATAAATAAATAAGTACTATTACCTGTAGTTACCTAATAAATAGCCAAATAAATGCGCGCAAATGTTATCAAAAGCTGCGCGCAAACGTAATGATTCTTGCTCGCAAATGTAATGTTAATGAGCGCAAACGTAATGCACCGTCATATATACAAGTCATACAAGTCTTAATTAAAAAGGAGCCGGGAGGTCGAGTCATGCTTCAGTGATTCCCTATATAATCAACCAAATTGTTCCCACGAAAGGGGGCGGACTAGACCCCCTGGGTCCGCATATGAATATACACAAAACGTTCACAGTATATATCAACAGATGAAGTATTCACTTTAAAAAGGAAATTTATGGAAACGTCGCCATGCAACGTTCTCAAAAAGTCATCATTTAAACCATGGAAGTAATATTCAAACAATATTACTTCCATGTTTAAACTGAATGAGCAAATTAAATATGTTACAAGCATCCATTTCTTAAAAAAAATGAAAAGTGAGCACGGACTAATGTGAAGTTTATCCAGGAACATATATGTTAGATATACTGTTCCCAGGTTGTTCTAAATATTTGAAGAAATTGAACAAAACATCTGTTATTCAATTTTTAAGGATGTGAACACTAACTTGTGATTATCATCTAAATAGATATAAGAAGATGTGGTATGAGTGCCAAAATTTTTTATAAAATATCAAAAAATAACTCTCCATCCTAGTAACAATTTGTAAAAGTAAACCATTATAGGTCAAAGTACGGTCTTCAACACAGAAGCTTAGCTCACACCGAACAGCAAGCCATAAAGGGCCCAAAAAATGACAAGTGTAAAACCACTGAAAAGGGAAAATAAACGGTTTATAATCTATATAAAAAATGAGAAGCGAGAAACACTTATGGACCATATCAACAAACGACAACTACTGGGCATCAAATTCCTGACTTAGGACAGGTGCAAACAAATGCAGCGGGTTTAAACGTGTTAAAGTATTAACATTTTCATTCATACCCCAGAAATTCGTTGCCCCCTCATTGTAGTTCTACCCAATAGCTATATAATTTATGAGGGCATGCAGAGTCTATAATTCCTAGCTATATATAACTGCCGGTGCAATGGGTTTGAACAAGTGGGTGACCGAAGTGTATATTTGATCAGATTTTTCTTTTTTTCTGTGTAACGGACGGAATTTTGGGCCTTTAACAATGCTTACCCCAGAAATTTTTTACTCTAACCTTGAAGTACTATCCAATAAATATTCATTAGGGCAGCATCTATAATGCCTAGCCATAAAGAACTACCGAGACAATGGGTCGAATTTGGCTTTATTTCCATGTTACGGACGCAAATTTCGTTCTCTATGAATGATTATCCCATAAAATCGTTCCCCTCGTTGTAGTACTACCCAATAGTTATTTATTAGAGTAGAGTCTATAATCCTTAGCCATACAGAACTGCCGGTGCAATGGGTTTAAACTAGTGGGTGACCCCAGTGCATCTTTGATAAAATTGGACTATTTTTCCGCGTTACGGACGGAACTTTCGGCCTTTAAGAATGCTAACCCAGAAATTCTTTACCCTCACCTTTTAGTACTATCCAATAGCTATTCATTAGGGCAGCATCTATGCTGCCTAGCCATAGAGAACTACCGAAACAATGGGTCGGAAAGTGGGTGACCCGAATGCGTATTTTATCGAATTTGGCTTTATTTCCATGTTACGGACGTAATTTTCGTACCCTAGGAATGTTCATCCCATAAATTCGTTGCCCCTTCGATGAAGTACTACCTAATAGCTATTTATAAGAGCAAAGTCTATAATCCCTAGCCATACAGAACTGCTGGGGCAATGGGTTTAAACAACTGGGTAATCCCAATGCATATTTGATCAAATTTGACTTTTTTACCGTGTTACAGACATAAGTTGCTGCTTTAATTATGTAATAAGTATATATTTTCTTTACTATCATTCCTAGATCCAGATATGGCTGAAATGCTGAGAAAACTTTTCTTGATGCCACTTGAGGTATAACATGTATATAAATCATTATTAAGTATTAGATAGTAGAAAACATCTACGCTTAGAAAAATTAGATAAACTGTGCTGGGATGATAACACAAAAGTTGTCTTCTTGTTTTGATTATTCTCATTATGTCGCCCAGAATTAGGTATATTTTTTAAAGACTCAACAATCAATGAAGTCTTCAATTGGAGTGACAAACTTCAAACAGAATTTAAGTGAACGAATTTAATGTAGCCACCGCACAAACGGCCATTTCATGATGTATAACATTCGAAAGATTGTTATTTGTACTTTCTCCTTCGTCCGTTTAAAAAAAAAATACATGGTAAATTCCGTTAAATCGAAGTCAAATGTGAAGAATTAACAGTTCAAAATTTTCATAGAATTAAACAAAAAGCTTATACTAAAATGTATGAATATGATCATATAAAAGCTGAAAATTGAATACTGTCATCAGTTTTAAATTCATCATCTAGATGGTTTGTAGATAAAAAGTTCTTGCTGCTAAACTATATATGTCTTTATGTCTTTCATCATAAAATAGAATGAAGTAGAAGAAGAAACAGAAAGTGCAGAAAATCTTCAAAGAAATCAAAATAGAGTGGTTGGTAGAACTTGGCATTAACCTTCTATATATTTTTAAGAAACAATTGACACAAAAACTGTATTCAAAGCAGACATACAACTGCACAAAAAGATTTAGGTAACAACTGACAAAGGTTCTGTGAACGTAATAGCAAAAGTGAAATGACTTTTTGATTATTTATAAGAAATGAATTATATACATAGTGATTTTAGCATCGTTTTTGTAATTACATTATGGCTGTTAAATTGTTGACTAAGCACACATGTTCAGCAAGCTCCTGAGGTTCACACAAAGTGTGCCTCGATCAACGTTTTACATCACATTGAATCTACTTAAACGATTCATTCAAATGTTTATGGTACAAGATAAATTTTCGTCATAGTTGTCTTGGCATCAAATAGAATTATCAAAATTAAGAATGGAAATGGGCAATATGTCAAAGAAACAACAAGACCAAAAACCAGACAACAGCCGAAGGCCACCAATGGGTTTTCAACGCAGCAAGAAAATCCCACAACAGGAGGTGGTCCTCAGCTGGCCCCTTACTAAAATTGTGTACTAGTTCAGTGAAAATGTACGTCACACTAAACTCCAAAACATATAAATAAACTAAAATTGAAAAACATGCAAGACTAATAGAGGCTCCTGAATTTGGACAGGAGCAAAAATGTCATATATTTTGACTGGAGCATGAAACTTCAGTTTAAGTGTTTACTCAAGTTTTGATCTGTAATGCAGACACTTCTTCAACTTGTTTGAAAGATAAAGTGAAATTTTACAACACATAAGCAGAATTTATAGTTTTCTATGAAAATGTTTTAAGGTTCATTTTCATAGGATAACGTCACCAATTTTCATGGTATCAACAATTGGTGCTATTTAAACGTGCGCGAATGTGCAATCGACGTATGACAAATTTAAATGTATATTGGACGTTGTTTTCTGTCATTTTCATTAGAATGGAGATAACAATGTTGTATTTTAAGCTCTGACGGCATCAATTGGTGATTTGATGGTGACAAATACCCGTACTCTTAATTTGCGACCATCAAATAACCAATAGATGCCGTCGTACCTTAAAATACAATACAGATATCTCCTAAGTATTCGTCATTAACGATTTATGCTGCCCTTAGCATTATTTTAGTAACCATACAATGAAAAAAAATACTATTTGAATACAGATTAAGAAACTACAATTTCAAAATCAGTTTATGAAGTTTTTAATTCATTAATTTAGGATCAGTTGGATTATGTTCCAGACAGCTTTGAGAGCCAAACAATTTCACAGATTGTTGAAAGAAATGAAGGTGAATTATACGTACTCTTTTATTACACTTTAGCCATTAGATTTTTATAAAATACTATGAACAACTACAAATACATCATTTCTTGGAACATTTGGCTAATCAAGGGTTGAACAAATCTTATTCTTTCTCTAGTAGTAACACAGTTCCAGAATCCATAACCAGTTATTTTATTTCCCTTATTTCTAATCAGTTTAAATTACATGCAAGGTGCAAATCGAGAAAACTACTTTTTATGTAGAGATATTTTCTAATATAAAATTATAAAAAGCAGACTCTCCATGAGAAAAAATAATATTCTGCACTTAGAAATATGTTTTAATTGCTAAGTATATACAAAAAAGAATTTGAAAAAAATATACAGTCAATGCATCATGACTGCGCAAAATATAAGGGTTGCAATATAGAGCCATTTATGACTTAATACAAGCATGATACAGAAATAAACAACTATAGGTTGGCGTAACGCCTTCAACAATGAGCATAGTCTATACCGCATAGTCAACAATAAAAGGCCCAGAAGTGACAAATGTAAAACAATACAAACCAGAAAACTAACGGCCCAATTCATGTAGAAAGTAATGAACGAAAAACAAAAAAGTAGCACAGCAACAAACGACAACCACTGAATTACAGGCTCCTGACTTTGGACAGGCCCATACACAATGTGGCTGGGATAAACATGTTAGCAGGAACTAAACCCTCCCCTAACATGGAACAGCGGTGTAAGTGTGTATTTGTTTGTTCGACATTGGCTAGAGGAAAACAAAACACTTATAACCCCGTAGCTTTTGGCAACTGTCCTAAATCCGGAACCTCTGTCCTCTGTTAGTCTTTTATGTTCTTTTTAATTGTGGTTCATTTATATGTTTCTGACCTTAGGGTAAGGTCTTTTTTCGCGTAACTAGTATACATTTTTGTTACGGGGCCAGGTGAAGCCCACTTGAAGGGTGCGGGATTTGCACGGTGTGTTAAACGTCGCAAATCATCTTAAGTTTTATTTATTGTTCGTTATAATTTTTTACTTAGCAATTTCTTATACGCATCTTTCTCACACAAATGTTTCAGGAACAAGTGACAACCAAGACCATGTTCCAGGTAAGAAATTGGCAATTAAGGTCAAGTAACAGTTTACTACAAGTGGCGAACAAGTGTCTTATTAAGATATAAATGGGGAATGTGTCCATGAGACACAGATGATCCATATAAGATTATAAAAGGCCATAAACGCAAGAAAGATAAAAGTGACACTACCAAAGTTTTCTAGCTGTGATAAAGACACATTCCCTATTTCCATTCTCAATTTATGTCATAGATTTTCTTAAAATATTTCGCATACACCTTTCAATTGGCTCGTTGAACAACTAAATATCGAAAAAAATCCCTTTTATCTCTTATATTTGTAACTGAAAGTTTGGGGTATATTGTTTTACCCCTGTCTGTCTGTCTGTCCTTCCGTCCGTCCGTCCGTTCATCCCATTTTGATGTATATACTTGCATAAGAGGAGCGTTAACTGTTTCCAGATAACTCCTCCTACAGTTTTAATGCTAGGCAGTTTTCACTATGATGGCTGTTTGTACATATGTTGAAGGTGTGAATGTGGTCAGGATTAATTTTTATTAATTTTTGCTTTTGGGAGATAAAATTACTTTGTCATTTTTTGGGGTGTATGCGGTTAAATGTTATAGTTATTTTTAAATAACACGTTGCATCTGTGGGGCATCAATTTGTCTCCCATACACAACAATATCTCAAAGAAAGTCTCACATTGACTTTTTTTATAATACAGTTACTTCACAGTGGAGTGCGGGGGCATCACTTTGTCTATTCTTAAGTATATATGATTTAAATCTTTCAAAATAGGTGAACATAAATATTGTATAGGAAATATATAAAATTTACGAAAAACGATCTAAACAAGAATGTGTCCATAGTACACTGATGCCCCACTCGCACTATCATTTTCTATGTTTAGTGGACCGTAAAATTGTGGCCAAAACTCTAATTTGTCATTAAAATTAGACAGATCATATCATAGGGTACATGTGTACTAAGTTTCAAGTTGATTGAATTTCAACTTCATCAAAAACTACCTTGACCAAAAAATTTAACCTGGAGCGGGACAGACGGACGAACGAACGAACGCACAGACCAGAAAACATAATGCCCCTCTACTATCGTAGGTGGGGCATAAAAATGTTTTAAAACTTTTGATACGTAGATTTTTCTTCAATGTGGTGTCGGTAAAACAAAATCAACAGTTAAAGATGTAAGATGATTATAGGGTCAGAAACAGATTTAATATAAATACAAAGTGTCTCCTTTATAGCCAAATATTTGGTGTGTATTTTTCACATTGTTGAAAACCGTACATTTGCCTTTTAATTGCTTACATTTACTTCGTTTGAAATTTGGTGGATAATTGTATCATTGGTAATCATTGTTATCATACCACACCTCCTTATTTTTTTCTCCATTTCTTTTTAATTAAATCAGGGCCGTAACTACATTGAGGCAAATGCCTCATGTTGAAAATTTCGAAAAAAAAATGATAAATTGAAACAAAAAATTGTTTTCACGGCGAGTGTCTTGCAAGAAGCAAGTTCTGTTCATCCTCTGATGTCGTCCCCTGTTTTTCGGGATCCATGTTCCTCATTTATTTTTAGTTTTCAGTGTTGATGGTCTATATTGTTTGTCGTTATGTGTCTTATCTGTTACCGGGTTTGTCTTTTGGTCGTTTATTGCCCTTCTTTATGACTATTGTCTTAGTGTTGAATTTCATTTGTAAATTTAATTTAGTAATTTTGTTTTAAACTTGAGTTTTATTATATTTAAGGACCTTTTGTCTAATTTTAAAACCTACTTTAAATTGTAAAACTATTTGAAATTAGCTCTCAATTTTTTGTTCTAAGGCGGCGTTAAGCGGACACCAATCAATCAATCAACCAATCAATCAATCAATCTTTATGACTAACGCTTTAGTTGTCCAATATTAAGCTGTTGTTGGTTTCTTCTCGTAACATCTGTATGTTGTAAACGTTCATTCTCTGCTTTGAGTAGACTTAAGACTTGAGAAAGATCAACGATGACGGGTGAAAGGTTGTGTGGTTTGGCAATGTTGCATGTCCACCGATGTCCAGACATTGTTCGAAAAAATGGTTTGAGAAGATTCCATGCTACCGGACATAGAAAAATTGGTCGTTTTTTTCATGGAAAATTAAACTTTATATTAAAGAATACAAGACTGGCTCTCTTTTCTGTAAATAAAACTCATTGAAAAAGCTGACATGGGTTAAATTAAAGTGAGACAACCAATCTCCCGGAATCAAATCATTTAAAAAGAAAAATCATGTATTGCCATACGACCTTTTACACTGAAGGCTAAACTTGCATTTAGCCGTGTTCAGGCCCTTAAATAGAAAGTAAAGGGATATGGAGTAAATGTGCATGGGGCAAAATCGCACACACTACATAGAAAAAGTACAAATTATCAATGAACATGCAGGGTTTTTATTTTTGTTCTTCATCTTGACAGTCGCTTGAGGGTCTTCAACAATGAAAGAATCATTCATACCCTACAACAAGGTCAAGACGGCCCCTAGCGTCAACTTAAGCGATACTTAAAGTATTGTACTGTGAATAAATTTCAAAGTCACAAAAAAATACACCAAAGTCTAAACACAATACAAGACCAGAACAGACAGATCCGACATTATCAGCCGGTATAAAATGTAGCAATGAGGTCTAAGAACAGTTTTCCTGAGACTACCCTGAGTGTACCCTTTTATCCCAGTTAGCAACTACATCAAGTAGTTGTAATTGAAATGCGTAATAAAATCTGAATTCACATAGTTAAATAAATGATAATCAACCCCCTCTTAACTCTTAAAAAAATAATTGACAGGTACAATACGTTTTCTGCCTGCCTGCCAAAAAAAAAACAGCAGCCACACATTTAATTACTGTGGATTCATTTATTTTCGTGGGTACCAATTTTCGTGGATTGAGGAGCAATTGCGTTTTCGTGGATATTTGTTTTCGTGGTGTTTCATAAGTTTGCATACATTCTTATAGAAAATTTGTATTTCGTTGTGCATTAAAATTCGTGTTTCCCGCGTAACTACGAAATCCACGAAAATTGGTATCCAACGAATAATAATTAATCTACAGTATGTGAAATACGATTTTTGCTTAATCCTTCTTATCGGTCTTTTGATGTTGTCCTTAAAAACTAAGAGTCTTACAATGAATCTATATATTTTGCTTTGAGACCAGAATATTGTCGAAAACATAATTAAAACAAAACTTGCGTTTCAGATTGAGAACGGGTCCGAGAAACGCTCAAAATGCACAATTTTGCGTCATTTTTTCCAAAGCTTCTGGGGGCCTTCAGCCTTCCCCAGACCCCTCGCCGAATATATTTTGCCTCACTTTTAAAAGAGACTAGTTACGGCCCTGTAAATTTCGACTTTAATAATGTCAAGGTATTTATCTTAAAATTGCTTTTTTGGGTTCCTTAGTACTTTCACACTTTCTTTTTGGGGGCATATATATTAAAACATACAAAGCAAATGGTCAAACTGCCGTAATGTATTATTTTACAGACAGAAACATCTTCAAAATGTTACAGGACATGGAAATGGAAATTAAGGCTATGCATCAGACCATGCAACAAAGCCATCAATTTAGGGTAGAAGGCCAGATAAAAAGGGATATAGCCGTAGTTGCAAAGCGGTATTTTGGCCGTAATATGTTCTCAATTCCGGATGCTTGCAAAGTGAGTGCTATAATAATAAAGTTTTTATTGTATTGATTGTACTTTGTCAACCAGGAATTATCATTTTCGGAATTCGTGGAAACGGCTGTTATATTCGATATTTGCTGGTTTTCAGTCGGTGCTCAATACAATTTAATTGTGTTGTCAGTAAATTCATATCAATCTGAACATGTGAGCATTCACAGTCCTACAATCTGTCGCTACTTACATGTATATAGTTAAACATTGCACACAGTTATGTATTTCTATGACTGTTAATGACGACTATATGTTAAATCCTTCGGTTTGATACTTTAGCATTATAAACGTTACCTTTTTATTGCTTGTTTTGGCTTTCAAGAAGCTTTCAGTATCGACGGGTATTTCTAAACTTTGTGTCTTTGGTGTTTCTGTAAGTTGTGTTATGTGTGTTTTGTATCGATCTGGTATTTATAGCTTGTCCTGATATTTTACTGTTACACAACTGTCTCAGGTCAGCATACATGCATGTTTGTCCCGCCACATTTTGTATGTGTATGTCCCTAGTCACGATCCTGTAATTCGGTGAATGTCGTTTGGTGTAGTATATCATATTTGTTTCCGTTTATTGTTTTGTAAATCAATAAAGACGTTAGTTTTCTCGTTTGAATTTTTTTACTTTTATAATTTTGGGGCCTTTTATAAATTACTTTTCGATATGGTTTTCTCATTTGGTTGAAGGCGGTACAGTGACCTAAAGTTGTTGTCTTTTACGTTATTTGGTCTCTGGTGGAGAGCTGTCTCATTGACAACGATACTTACTTATCATCTTCTTATTTGATATGAATGCTGGTACTTGGTCTATTTCGTTAATAAGATATGAGTCTGAAAGGAAACTTGTATCCATAAGAGTATAGTCAATGGCCGTTTTTAACACACTTACTTGAACAAGATAGACTTTTATAGCTGATCTTTAAACTGTGTAATGGATTACTTTATTTGAGGCTTCATATATTGCATGAACAGTGACTGTCTACGTTTTGATGGTATTTTCGCTCAATAAAGTCACGACGGGTGTCTAATACTTAAAGCAATAGGCCAACTATATTTGTTGTATGAATGATTGTAAGGTGTATATGTCTATCTGGCAATAATCTTCTGACCATGACCTCAGTGGTCAATCTTAAATTGTCCTAGTTATTTTTTGTTTCTCAGATTCTATGATATGGAATATGTCAACAATATATAAAGCATGTAATAAATATATGATGTACACGTCTGTCTGGCGGGGCTCATTTGACTTTGACATCATTTTCATGGTTCATCGATCAATGTTAAATTTTCCTTGTTAAATGTTGTTTCATAGAAACATTGTGCAATATATCAAATATATTCAAAGCAAATTTGGTGTATGAATTGATTGTAAAATGTACATGTATTTCAAGTTTGGTTTATCTGACCTTGACCTCATTGTCTTGGATCCAGTTCAGTTTATGTGATAGTTGTAGTAATTAAAGCTTAACAACATAAAATCAATGGTAAGTAAGAAAGGCAAGATATTTCAGCGTGTGCAATCTTGTTTGATATAAGGTTTAGGAGGAAAACTTTCTATTCTTCTTGTAGACTGAAGTAAGTGAATTGATACAAGAGGAAATGGGCAGGCAGGCAAAAATTTCAGAAATAAAGAAAGCTTTATCTTTTGTAAAAAGAAAGTATTCAACTGAATACAGGCCAGCCATTTATAGAACGGTAAATGTAGTTTAAATAAAGCTAGGTTATGTTACTGTCATACAATTCAATAAAAAAAACAGATTTTTTTTTATACCTATCTACTAACAAGATGAAATTGTGAATGGAGATGTGCATTGTGTCAAAGAGACAACACACCGACAACAGAACAGAAAACTGCCCAAGGCCATCGACAGGCCTTCAACACAGCGAGTAAACTCCACACACAGAGGCTGTCTTCAGCTGGCCCCTAACCAATAATGAGTACTAGCTCAGTGAAAATAGACATCGCACTAAACTCCAAAACATATAAATGAACTAAAATAAATAAAAACCAAACCACAAAATCAAATAATGTATATTTTGAATAATATCCAAGTCAACTGCAACTAAATCTAATTATCACTTAACAATGAAGGCTGAAATTAAGCTAAGATTAAGCAAAGCATGAAGTTCACAGCAAGTTCACATCAAGTTCAAGAAAATGCCATTCACCTGCATCTACTCGAACTTAAGAAAAAGAAAAAAAACGTAGAAGTTCATTTGACTGCTAAGTGCTAAATCTGTTATGTATTCACTAGTTACATTTGCTTCCACATGATCAATTTAAAATTTCGTATTGTAGCTCAGAGCAACTATGGAACAAACTAAAGAGAAGCAACTACGGAGTTTGTTCGGAAACTACACCGACGCATCAACAGCAGACAAAGAAGTTGTTGATTACAGAAAACAAATGGTGTTGATAATGGTAAATAAGAAGAATTTTCATTAAAAAAAACCACCACATCCAGTAACAAAATCAATCACATATAAAATTTACGCCACATTCTATATGTATGTGCCTGTCCCAAGTCAGTCGTTTTGTGCTGTGTTACATATTTTCTTTTCGTTATTTTTTGTATATTAATTAGGCCGTTAGTTTTCTCGTTTGAATTGTTTTATATTTGTCATTTCGGGGCCTTTTTAAGCTGACTATGTGGTATGGGCTTTGCTCATTGTTGAAGGCCGTACGGTGACCTATTGTGGTTGATTTCTGTGTGATTTGATCACCAGCAAAGAGTTGTCTGATTGGCATTCATACAAAATATTCTTGTAATATATTGACAAAAAAAATGACTTTTCTTTTATGAATTTTTCTGTTACTTAAGAAAGACACGATACTTAAATTTACACTAAATACCAATTGATTGATTGATGGTTTGTTTAATGTCAAGTTGCAAATATTTCAGGCATATTCCGGAAAAGACCAAATACTTTTAGGTACTGTAATTGTTTTGAAAATTAAGAGTTTTACCGGAAAATGAAGATAAAGTTGATTAATCATTTTGAGATGGGAATGTTCTTTAAGTCTGACCTTACGATATGTCATTTTCACGTTGTGTTTGATATGCCTGTTTATGCCGCCATTTTTTGGATTTCATTGAACGCAGTCTTGAAATGATATATTTGATAACAATACTATTCAAACATTTACAAAATTCTTTTACATTTTATTAATTTATTACTAAAATATTATGCCGGGAAATTCCTTTGTTTTTAGTGGGAATTAAATCAATTTTTGTATTCATTTATTTTATAGAGATTTCTTCATAGAGAAAATCCGCCAAAGGGAACCTTTTGGAGAAAGGTGGAAGATTTACATACTGAGATTGAGGGAAAGGAAAAAGAAACACGCCTTTCCCTCTACCAAGGACTCTTGAGAAGGGAGGAAAGAGAACAATAAAAAACTTGAAACACATTATTGTTGGACTATTTGGATTAATGTTTTCTTAAGATATTTAATCATGTTCGTACTCAAATGTGGACAGATTTTAGGACCTTGCATAGTCTTGATGCATATATACTGTACAATAACATCTGGTTAACACACCAAATGGGTGAAATCTCTTCGTTCTTACTGTGCTATAATCTGGATAATGCACAGCAAACGTGTGCAACTTTAACTACCTCAAACAGGGCGAGGGATAATAAGCTGCAGATCAATTGTTTAGATGCGACATGTCTTAAAAATTAATACAGTAGAAAAAAATTGAAGGGGGAACGGGGGAAGTCAAAGATTGAAAAGTGAAACATTTTTTTTCTGTTTACTTAATATTTCAAATATTGGTAAATTAATCCTCGGTTCACTTCCTCTAAGCATATTATTGAGGGAAAGAAAGTAAATTAATATACTCAATAACCCTTTCAGTTATGATTTTTCATACATCGATTTAAAAGTACACAAAACGGAACTAAAACTGTAGGAGATGTAGGTTGTACGTCAATAAGTCAGCAAGCAAATGACAAAAAAAAACCACACTAATGACTACCAGAGGACAACGTATAGTATTGTTTTCAACAACAGATAGGCGTCCTACGTTGTTCGGGTTATTTAGGGTCACCCGAGCCGTGCGGATTAAATGATGTATACAGACTTGCTTGGTTAATAACTATAATATGTAATTAACTTGAATATCCTTGTTAAAAATTGATGTGCATGTGCAATAAACTAGCTAACATTTCTTTTTATTCAAATTAGTATAAACGAATGATGCCTTAATACCCTAAAATTATTCAGCTCTTCATTCAAAATTGTCCTTCAACATTAAAACCACACAAATAAAAAGATAAGAAAACCATAAAGTCGGTTCACAATTTGTTCTCGTTGAATACAAAATACTAATGTTGAGTATTTCAAGACATTTCTTAAAAAAAAAAGATTTTTTGTAAAAAATTAATCAATTGTCAGATACCTGAAATACAATTTAATCACGAACATTTTAACATTTTTGTCAAGTTCTCCCTGCATGCTTAATTTCATAACCAAAAAATCATGAAAACTTCATCCGTATTGATATGGAGTCAACATGGGTATCGTCTCCACAAAATACTACATGGAAATACCCTGCAAATATTAGACATTACAATGTCAAAGGACAATGTCTGCGAGTGTCACTTTAAATGAGGTATCCCAAAAAATTGGTTAAACTGGGCCAACAGATATTGATAGGTGTGTACTTTCTTAAAAGTAACTTTGCAAAATATAACCATACAAAATAGTCAATGTACCAGAAAAAAAACTTTGTATCTAGTAAGGAAATATCTGAACTTTACATTTAAGACTGGATTTGCAGTTTAAGTAGTTCAAACAAGTAAACTGTCTTATCATTATAACCACTGTTTGACGTTTAAACAGTAACAGTTCTGATATGGACTACTTTATAATCTATAGTTTAATATGGTAATAAAAAACAAGGACATGTGGTAGGATTGCAATCTTTCAACCAAAGAACAGGAGTAACCAGTAATCATAATGTAATATACATTTGAGGTCAGCAAAAGTGTAAGTCCGCCACATTTATATGAGTCTGTCCAAAGTCAAAAAAGGACATAGTGCCATTGGTATGTAATTGTGTAGTTTAGCATTTACTTTACTGAATGAAATTTTGTGTTGCACGTCAGAATAGTATTACCATTTTAATTGTTGTTGAAGCAAGTCGCAGCTTATTGCATGGCATGGACTACCTACTGTTAAAGACTGTGGCATTGTGACTTATAAATGACATTGCTGAAAATCTGCTTTTCATACACATTAACAATGAGGGTATAATATTGCATGGAAACTCAAATCTCTGTTAGTGTAACACTCCTTACCTTTAGGAGACACATCTGTTCTAGCTGAAGTGTCTATTTGAATATTTAACTTTAACATTAAAGCAGCAGCCAAAAATGAAACAAGATATAAACAAGGTTAATAAGATATATAAACAAAATGCAGCGTAAGCATGTGGTTCATCGAAAAAAACTTTCAAGGCAAAATGGAAAGTTAAATGAAAGAATACTTAACAAAAATCATCTTACAATAGTATAGTTCTTAGATGACTTTTTGATAAGGTATAAAATATGAATACTATTTCATTACTGAAAGTTGATTGAAATGTTCAGAACTGAAAAACTACTAAACTTTACAGTACTGAAAAATGACTGAAATATTCAGTACTGAAAAATGACTGAAATATTCAGTACTGAAAAATGACTGAAATTTACAGTACTGAAAAATGACTGAAATATTCAGTACTGAAAAATGACTGAAATTTACAGTACTGAAAAATGACTGAAATATTCAGTACTGAAAAATGACTGAAATTTACAATACTGAAAAATGACTGAAATATTCAGTACTGAAAAATGACTGAAATTTTCAGTACTGAAAACAATTTTTTCTCAACATTACTAAAAATGATATATAAATAAATGTACTGATTAGTGATGTTTCTTAAAAGTACTGTTTATATATCGGCATTTAATGTACTGATTAGTGATGTTTTTTAAAAGTACTGTTTATATAGCGGCATTAAATGTACTGTTTATATAGTGGTATTTAATGTACTGATTAGTGGTGTTTCCTAAAAGTACTATTTATATAGCGGCATTTAATGTACATGTAAACGTTAGGCAAATTGTTGGTAGTGTACAGGGAACAAGGGAATAAATATGACAGCAGATCCACAAGAGAGCAAACATGACGCTACACTTTAACAAACGGTAATCAACTCTTCACCTATTCAAAAAGTATACGTTGCGCAGAAAATTTCCCCTATTGCCTCGAAACCAAGCGCTGCAAAATCAAGTACGAAATCGTTATTTGAAATGCAGCCTCGTGAAAATAAACTCATCATAGATACCAGGATTAAAATTTTGTATTTACGCCAGACGCGCGTTTCGTCTAAAAAAGACTCGTCAGTGACGTTCGAATAAAAAAAGTATAAAAGGCCAAATAAATAACGAAGTTGAAGAGCATTGAGGACCAGAAATTCCTAAAAGTTTTGAAAACCACTTACAGGATCTGATGACACTGCAAGAAGACGTTCGGATAGAAATTCCGCAAATGAAACTCATATATGATGTTGCATCCGCAATCATCTCTTTTGAGTCCTCCATGTCATCCGATGAATTTGATGCTTTTTAGTACTAGTATAACCTTCGTTATGCAAATTCTAGTCTTTATCGATAGGCAAATAATCAAAACAGATGGAAATAAAAGCCCACATGTCTCCGTTTGGTATGTTTCAATCCCACGGTACATCGAACTACTTTGGACTATATTTTTTCAAGTCGAAACTCAATAAAATCAATAACAAAAAAAAATCATTAGAAGAAACTATATCCAATATCAGGTCAATGAAAGACAAAAAATAAGGCCTTTTTGTATGAGAAAGTGCGAGGTCAACCGTTTATTTTTCAGTAGTATAAGTTACCGATTTATTTATTCGGTATCAATAGAGTTTTTTTTGTCGCAGTTAAATGATGCAATTGCCCGGAGTTCAACTATGACAGGTATTTAATAAGGGTATTTCGCAATTCATCAGATTCTTACAATACAATAATGAATACAATAAACTGGACTCTGTGGAGGAATAATTTTGTTGATCATAGTACGATAACGGAAGTGGAAATTTATCGTCATACCAAACAGTTATCAAAAGTGGACAATGTAGGAAATGGTGACACAAGATATGTAAATAAGTAAACAGTAATTAACAGAAATGCAATACAAAATTTATCAACAGCTCAAATTAACACGAAAGTACGATTAAAGAGAATTATGTCAATCATCCTGAAAGATAATAAATTACTTCTTCTAAAATGACGACCTATTATCGTTACCCAGTTAAATCACAGTATATCTACCTTTAACGCAAACGCATTAATACACCAAATTAACTGTTCCACCCATCTATATACGACCTAGTTTCTTTTTGATAACAAAAAAAATTAAATTAATTTGTAAAAATATTGATGAAATAAGAAATTGACGGAGACTTAATTCTTATTTTGTTATTTTTGGTATGCATGTACAAATCGTCTGATGCACTTGAAAGCAAAAACATGGCCGTACCATTGCAGATTGGCAGAGCTGAAGAACAGTGCGGAGAAAAATCAAAACTTATTAACCATGAAAAGCCTAACGCAAATTTTGCTAGGCATTACATTATTCAATGTTACAAAAATGTGGTCATAAATTGTATGAGATTTCGGCATCGCCAAACACTGTGACCAAGCATGTCGTAACGGAGCCGGAGGAAGATTTTTCCCAGTCGTACAACGACGTAAAAATAGAAACTGACCCTCTTTAATCTTTACATATAAATCCTCCTACAAACAAATTACAAGGTTCATAAGTGCTGACTTTCATTGGACAACACCAACAGCTAATATCCCAAAAATTCCAGCAACACTCAATAATTTGTATCATCCTAATAATACTAATCGTACATTATATGAATTATATATTAAATGCAATGGTATTGCTAATTATCACAAGAAGTGTCGAGGTTTATTTATGACTGCACAACAACCCGGAGCAGCTCTACGACTTGGTATCGCCAACTTGTCTGTCGTATAACTTCATGAAGAGGGCACAGTGCACTACACACCACTTAGAAACCATTCAAAATCGCGGTTGAAGAAAATTTGTGACCCATCATCAAAACTTTAGCATGTATCAGCAGTTATTTGGGGACGTGAACATCAGGAGAGTGACCTCAAAGAATTTTAACAGGTTATGCGTACTGACCATCAGAAATTTTGTGTACTGAAAGCAGTTCTGATTGATTTAATTTATTCATTTGTTGATGTCAGCGCAGATAGAATAGCAACATACGACTTACATGGAAGTAATGCAGTGGAAGTGAAATGTTTTATTTATAAATCGCTCAAGTTTCTAGCCAATGCCCGTCTTTCAAACACTCATCACTACTAGACAGCAGCCGTCGATATTTAACTTGAATAATTTGTATTTTCCTGATTTACTAAGCGTATAATAGCAAGGTTTCAACAGTTCGTTATCTTCAACGTTATATGAAGCTAGCACTGTATATGATAAGATGAGAGAGCTGCATATATAAAGGTGCGTAGATCAATTCTTCCTTTGTTTTTGTGGTGTGCAATGCCACACAGGTAAATAGAAATTATTTTGTCGTTGTTGGTACTCCAGTAAATTATTTTGTCGTCGTTAGTACTCCAAGTAAAATTTCGACGTTTCCTGCCTAGTAGTGAATATAGGACAGAAAGTCACAGGACAAAAAGTCACAATTCACATTTGGAATTCACATGTTTCCGATGGTGGTCGTTGTTTCTTCACAAGCTACTACTGTCCTCTGAGAAAGTATTGACTTTGCCAGTTAATGTCACATTTTGTTGCAAGAACTGCACTGTCGTAGATAGCCTTGAAACAATGTTTATTAAAATTCTGACCCCAAGGTTCACTTGGTCTTCTTCCGACCGGCAGTAAAACGCTTGCCAAAGTGGGGCGTCCGTTTGGCTGTGCGGGATGTATCAAGTTTGCAGCCACGTCCGGTCATAATGGATACGTTAAATCCGATGCCTCGTGTAAAGAGAGTGACACGCTCTTTGCACGTTAAGAATCCTTGCAACAACTCTTTGAGGGGTCCGTAGGTGTCCTGTTTGCAAGGCAAAATGTCTGTCCCTATCCAATATACCCTCATTTTCCAGTGGCAGTCCAAATTTTCCCCGACCATCATCCCGGATGGCCTCTATTATTACAAGACCTACCTATTGTATTTATTATTAACTTGTTCTCGTCCTGAACATGCTCGAAATATTTGCCACTGGACGTTAAGCAACCAACTTGTACAGCTAATCTGTTCCAATTTTTTTTACTTTACTCTTTCTGTACGTTCTTGTATGTGTATATCATTCAAAATTTCATGTATGCATCTAGTTTCTATTTGATAGTTTTTGAAGATGATGGCAGGTTATCTTGAAGCAAACAATATCAGCGAAGTAGAGTTCGCAGTTCCCTACGACGTAATGACCCTGCATCATGTGAGAAACGCTGCGGTAAAACTGCAAAACGTCGAACATACTCAGTGCCTATACCTAATAGCCTTTGGCATATTGTTAGACATATGAAGTTAAACAGGTTAGTTGTTAATTTTAAAAATTAAGTTGATACCCACGGTTATATTTAGACTAGATTTACTGCACAAGTAAGGAAGCTTAATATTTTGAATTCCGATTTTTGATGAATCAATTCACAACTGTAGGCATGAAACATTTTAAAAACAGGGAGGTGTGCTCATTTTGTGCCTCTCCCAAGCCAGAATCTATACTATGTATTATTAATGTTTTTATTTATAATTGATTGATTTTTTTTCTCTTTTTTAGATGAGAAATAGCAACACACGGTGGAATTGATGGTTATTCTAGACTAATAACATATTTGATGGCA